GGGKSSCMWTTTGGGGGGGGGGAGCAGGGTGTGCAAGTTCACACCCTGAATTTATTATTTGCTATTGGCCTAGGCGTCACTGATACATGKCCTTGCCACCTTGGCCTTCAGTTTTCCTATCTTTAACTTTATGGTTTAGGTYATAAACTGCTTTTAATGATTGATTTGTATTTTCTATTTTTATTTATGTTCTAATTTCAAATATAGGTACCTARCTATTAATTAAATTTATGCGTTAAAAAATTTCAAAATAGTAATAGTTGAATGGTAAGATATCTAGTACCTAAAATATTAATATTWAATTTATTAATTTGTAATATTTTATGTATGAAAGGATAATATGTCTATCATAGACATAGGGCCGGCGCAAGCAATTTTTTATATGTAGGCAAAGATCAAAATTGCCGCCTCTTATTTTATTATAACTTAAATAGATAAATGTCATATGTAGGAGCAAAAAAATTAAAAAACTTTTTACACTTGTCAATTATTATATGATAAAAAAGAAATTACTAAATTAATATTACATAGATTGTTTGTAAGGTATTACAATAGTTATTGTGAAATACAATATTTATTTATAATTTATTTTTAAAAATGTATTTTTCTTGCTTTTGATGATTGAAATTGAAATTGATTTTTTTTTTTTTTTTCATTCATTCGCAATTTGATTTTCAATTGAAATTGTTGCCAATCCAACTAAACGATCCTGTGAAATTTGTGATCTTAAATAGTTCTTTACAATTTTTAATTTTGAAAAGCTTCTTTCAGCTGAAGCTGCAGTTACTGGTAATGTTAATAAAATGCTTAGAGCTACGTATACATTAGGAAATAATTCTATTAATTTGTTTTCACATATAAATTGTAAAATTGCTTTTGGATAATTTTCATTTTTCAAATGTTTTTGTAATATATTTATTTCTTCACAAAGTTCAACAGAATTTATATCARAATTTAAACCGTCATTTGAAGAAAGTGCTAGCTGAAGATCTTTACAGCACTTCATTAAATGTTCATAATTATCGACATTAGAAATATTATAAAAAAATGAAAATAATTTACTATGGTCTTCAAGTTGAATAAATTGGTCATTTATTGATTGGAGCATATTGTCTAATATTTGATGAAAAAATTTATTTTGAAATTCTGTTTAGGATCTGTTATAKGAGTATCACGAGATTCRTAATCAAMATAAGTTTTTCTACGTCGAGTTCGAAATTGATTTAACAAAAAACTATCTTGTACACCAAGTTCATTTGCTAAGTTACTTGCTTGTGTAAGTATTTTTTCAAAATTTTCATCACTTCGATATTTTTGTWAAAATATTTTAGTATTGTTTATCTGATTGATTGATTCGATAATATTTAATGATAGAGATTGTAATAATTTACTAGTGACATTAATTTCGCATAATAAATCATACCAAATTACTAAACTACATAAAAATTTGAAGCTTATTAATTTTTCAGCTATACCTTTAGCTTCAGAACGACTTCAAACGCCAGTTACACTCGTAAGTGAAGTGTCTTCTGATATTTCTTCCAGWGCATCATAAATTTCAGCAGTTTGAAATCGAATTGGTCGAATAGCGTGTATTCTACTAGACCATCGAGTTGCACTTAATGGTTTTACAGTAAGATTTTTAACATATTTACGAAAAACATCCCATCTCTGTGTTGATGCAGAAAAAAATGTATACATTTCTTGTATAATATCAAAAAATGAAACKGCATCTAAACATCAATTTGCTGAATCGTTCAAAACCAAATTTAAAGAATGTGCATTGCATGGCACGTAAAAAGCTCTTGAATTTAGATTTCGAATTCTAGCTTGAACACCATTTTTATATCCACGCATATTAGCCCCATTGTCGTATCCTTGGCCTCTCATGTCATCTAATGAAATATCTAATTCTCTCAGTTTTTGAAGAATAACTTCAGTCATAATTAAGCCAGTAGTATTGTGTAATTCTATAAAACCGATAAAGTGTTCATTCATAGAAACGTGTTCTATTTTACTTGTGGWTTCGTTTTCAGTAGTTGAGACGAATCTAACTATGACAGTCATTTGTTCTGTATGATTTGTATCTGGCGCACAGTCTAAAATGATTGAATAATATTTTGCATTTTTTAATGTAGTTATGATGCGAGATCTTATTTTATTCGCCAATAATTGAATTATTTCATATTGGATATCTTTTCCTAAGTAATGACAATGAATTTCTTGAGATGATATTCTTCTTATGTGTTCTTTCATTACTGGATCAAATTTACTTAAAAATTCAATAAATTTTAAGAAGTTACCATTATTGGAAGTATTAAGTTTATCTGATTTTCCCCAAAAAGCCAAATTTTGACTGCTAAGTGTTTTTGATCAATTCTAAAATTCACCTAAGTACATTTTTCCAATGTTCTGTCTCAATTTTTAAATTAGCTTCATTGATATTATCGATAGTTTTTCCACGTTTACACCTTGTTTCTGATTCTTTCCAATTTTGATATGCCTTTTTATGAGAATTTGACGTCTCGTGTCTGTTCAATATATTTGATATATTTTTCCGATCATTATTACCATTGGTTCTAAGAGATACTACTCCAATATTAAACAATTTGCAGCAAAAACAAAACACAGAATCACTTGATTTAGAATAAATTATCCAAGAACGTTTAATACGTTCACCATTAGGTAAACGTCGAAAATAGTGAAAAGATGAAAATGATCTACCACTAGTGTTTATAGGAAATGTTTCCATATTTATTTGACGAGGTCCACACTCTATTAAGTAAAGTCTTAATTTTTCATCGATAGAGGGCCATTTATTAGGGTCATCAAAATCAAGAGATTTAAAATTTGTGTACTATTCATCATCATTGCAAGATTTTTTATTTTCAATATTTTCTTCWCTTATAGTAGGTACTTATAGCAATCTCTTTCTTGTTTTCATTTTCAGAGTCAAAATCAGCTTTTCTGCAGTTTATATCATGTATATCTTTAATATTTAAATTGACACTATTCTTTTCAGTTATATTAATCTCGTCTTTACTTTCATTGTCATGTTCTTTTTTTTATTGTCAACTTCGCCCATACTTAGATCTTCAATATTTTTATTTCCACTATTTTCTTCACTGTCATCAGTATAATTATCAGTAATAACATTTTCTTGACTATTTTGTTGACAAAATTTCAGTAAACTACCTTTTTGTTTAACTAAATCTTTCTCCCGTGCTAGTCTTTTCTTTAAATATTGCGAACCTGATAATCGTTTACGCTTTTTTATGTAATCGGCCATAATATCTGAATAAATAATTAATTAATTAATATTATTTTATTTTTTAATTATTTAAAATAAACTCCATACAACAACGGAGAAGAAAAACTAATTATATAACAGTATTACATAGTTAATTAACCACTAGTTAACAAAAAGTCTATTATTTGGTCTTTTTGCATTTTTAAAATAATTACAAATACAATAAATATCAGATATAAGATGTTATGATATTATGATTGAACTGTCGGGCGACAGTTYCACTATAACGGCGACCGTATACTATTGAATTATTTACGCGCTATAGGTACCAATAATGATTAACAGTAAATTAAAAATATATTATATTTTTATTACTTACCTTTTGTGTAATGAAGTCTTGATAGATGTATATGTCTTGATTTATAAAAAAATTATATTGTTGAGCTCAATAAAGAATGTACTTACCTACACTACACTGTACAGTGAGAGTGAATGACACACAACAGTCACCAATTGCAAAAACGCTAATAGAATTATTATCGATTAAATTGTTATGGCACAACATGCTTTGAGACGTTATCGCAATTCAGGGAAAAATGATCTATATTATTTTTATTGAATATTGTTTTGTAGTTTTATCGATCTACACAATATGTTTGTATATTGTACTTTGAAATTTGTTAAAATCTAAAATAAACGTGAAAAATAAGATATTTAATTTTTGCTTATATTCCGCCTCTATATTATAGTTATAAATTTTGCCGCCGTAGGCTTGTGCCTACGTCGCCTACGCCTATAACCGTCCCTGGGTATAGCTGATAAAAAGGTTAAATAAAAGGCTGTAGTTATATTATTATAGACTAAGTCTATGGTAATGAGTTAAGTAGATGGGGATTTTAATGATTTGAAAAAGTTAGCAATTACTATTGATTTATAAATATGAATAATTTGTAAAAATTATCCAAGTACAAACATTTTATGAACTCGGAAACTACCTACTTATTAGAATTTTGATCAGTAAAAAGGGGGATTCTCATTTGAAAAATAAAAGTCGATATCGCCACATGATACTTTTTAAGCAGTATAAAAAGTCAGGAATTTTAAAATATGGTCTACACTATCAGTCTACTTAAAAATTGAATTTGAAGAAATTCACTATAATAGGKAAAAATGAAGGTGAGCATGCTAAAAAAATCACCCTGTATAGAAAACGAGGGAAGGGTCTCTCGCTCGATACTTGAAAATATTGATTGTAAAGGCGCGATGGGTGAGTGGAATGATTGTGGGGTACCTACCTATGTGGGCTGTGGGGTTGAATAAGTTATTTGCACAAGCGCAGTCTATCGGCCACCTATCAGTGCATTTGCGCTTTTTATTCACTTCCAATGTAGGTACCTATGTAGCTAGATTTGTTACACGACTTTAGTTGAACCCAAGTTTAATTTGATTACATTTTAAAAACGTTGAAGTAGGTAATTTTTTTTAAGACTAAACATTTAATAAACTTATTCAATGATGGACGACAATAATGAAAAACACGTAACATTCATAGAGCCAAMAATTATTACACCGATAAATTTATCGATTACATCGCCGATTACACCAACAACTACACTAGCTGAGCCAGCAATAACATTGAACGAACAAAGTATTACATTAGCCCAGCTATCAATTACACCGACCTGCAAACCAACTACTATGTCGAGCAAACAAACGATCATATTGACCAAGCCTAAGATCAAACTGGATGAACCAATAAATACATCTGTAAAGTCAGTGGTTACACCAACTGAATCAACAATTACACCGACTGAGCCCAGGATTACATCGACTAGACCAAGAATTACTCCTGTTGAGTTAAAAATAACATCGACTACGCCAAAAATAGCATTGACTGAACCAATAAAAACACCGACTGAGGATGCATTAGTTGTAAAGGATCATATTATTAGGCCTAATCAGCCACTGTTTTTTGTGAAAAATCCGAAAGGGTGGTTTAATCAATTTGAATCAAAAATATTGGCTGCGGACTTAATTGAAGACCTACCAGTGTATTACGACCTCTTGAAAGAACTGAACAGTCACGATATTTTATGCTGTATTCTGGATGTGTTTCAAAATATGAGTCTGGTAAATATGTACATGTATTTTAGAAGCCATTTGCTTAAAAAAATATCAGAACAAGAAAGGCTTGTAGAGCTCGTTTGCGATTTAAAATTGGAAGATAAATATCCGTCTTTTCTTTTAAATGAAATGAAACAATTGACGGATTATAAGTTATCAGAACTGAACATACAACGTTTGTGGTTACAAAAGTTACCACCGCAGATACGGAATTTACTATTATTATCTTCAGATTCTTTAAGTTCCCTATCATTGTTGGCGGACAACATTAAGGATCTACAGTGTTTACCGGAAGTTCAATTACCAAAGGAAGCTGCTCATCAGTATGTAATTAATTTACTTTCAAAAAATATACACTCAAAAATATTGATTTCTRACTAACATTAATCCTATTGAATTTATTTAAAGATATGAACAGCACGAACATGGATCGGACAACTCGGATGATCATTCAACAGAAAATGCACAAGTTATCAACAACGTAAATTCAATTCAAGAAGAAAAAAAAGCGACTTGTTTAGATAATTTTTGCAAATGCGTCTAAATGTTCAGCGTTATTGCATGTTAATTTCCATACATGCAACAATTATCTATGCACTATAATTTTTAATCACAGAAATACTTCTTCAGGTAATATAAAGGTTATCAGGTAATAATATAAAAAAATCGTCTGAAAGTAATGTTGTTCAAATCATTTTTGATATAACGTTTAATTATTCATAGGTAGGTATCTCCCTACTTTTAATTTCTTTTAAGAATAAAATTAATCATGAACAGTATAATCAATGAATATTACAGTCTTTCTATCGGCTAAGCTACTGAGTTTTGATAATGTCCAAAGTAAATTTATTATCCTGTTTCTAAGCTCTAAGTACCATCCAATATTTTCTTTTTATATACCTACCTACCTAGATTGTAATACATCACCCAATCAACATTATCTCATTCAACATATTTGCATACCTAGTATGTAGTTTAGAGGAAAAATAATTTTGTATCTATATGTTATACAAGATACAACACTATATTATAATTAAATGTTAAGTTTGTGTACCATGTTTGTAATTCTAATTTTTTTAAGTTGTTTTAATGCAACATTTTTTTAAATTTAATATTTTAAAATCTAAAGCAGGATATTTTTCTGGAATTCCAATGTTTAATATTGTATAATCTATGTTATTATTAAAGAGTACCTATTCAGTCATTGTTCTTACTTCTTATATTAAAATAGATACAATTTAAAATAATAAAGTTGAGGATAGTGGTAACGATGCTTCATGGRAAAGTTAAATTCAACTATGAACTTTTGGTTTATAAACATGTTTTGTTTAAGTCATATCCACACAAAAATAATCAAATAGGGTTTAATTTAAAAAATAATTAGTTTGTCCAGTTTGAGATGGATGTATTTGATTTTAAATTTTGSTGTGTGTGAATCATAGCAAGCCACTAACCATTTATACTCAAGTAGGCACTAAGATACATAAATCATAAATATAAACTTTAATATAATATGAGTTATRTACACCTATATATAATATTTTATTGTGCATGGTTCTACCGGCTGTTGTAAAATAATGTCGGTTAATAGATTACGATGCTCCGTAACACTTTCTCTTGATATAAGCAAATTTGTAATATGTTGGAGCTAAAATTATAGATAATTTATAAACAATTTAGAATTTTAAATTTTATTTAGGTTATTTTTGCCTAATATTCATTACAATAAAATTAGTGATCTGGTTATGCATTATTTATTTTAAGTTTAAAAATGTATATCTTATTTTGTTTTCTATAACTTCTTTAAATAAATTAGACTAATAATATTATGATTATATCTATCTTTTAAACAACTAATTGATTGTAAATTATGTTCCCTTTAATATTTACTAAATGAGTTATATTAAATATTTATAGTAAACATTTAATACTACAACCWGTGGCGCAACTAGGGGGATGCAAAAAGGTTTTTATCACCCCTTGTTTTTTATATA